CAACTGCAGTAAGTCCAAGCAGTGAGCAGGACAAACAGTAACTCTTATATTCGCAGACCCTCTGTCTTTCATGCAAACATCTTTTAGGTGTAATGTTTGTCCCATGTTTGGCTGTTTCCTTTATTCAGTTATAGTACACAATGAATCGGTTTTATTTAATCGACACTTGTTCTACAGAAAGGCAGACGAGGGACCACTATGTAGTGATATACTTTCTATGTGTCTGATTGAGTGTCCTATTTCAGTGTACTGTAGGCTGCCTGATTTTCAGCAGTTCAGGCAGTGCTGCCGGTCGATGAGCTCTGTATGTACACTGATAAGGAAGTCTTTTTTCTTAGAATAAGGTACTGTGGCTAAGGGGGCTGGTTTATGATGCAAATTCTGCAAAACATTTTTTTTCTTTGCAAAAACTACAAAGATTGTAAGCATAAAAAAAAAATAAAAAAAAAAAAACAACGTATTAATTAGACCAAAACCTATCAAATGCATTAACGTAGTGTTAGTTTGCAAATGTGTCTTTAAATAGAGAAAAAAAAACACAACGCAATAACACCAGGGGCGGTTTGTGAAAAAAACTGAAAGTGCTTTATACTAAGTGGATAGTTTGCTTTTGGCAGACTGTCAGAAGAGATATTCTGTTGGAACTGATTTAATACGCTTGAATGAAAGAGTGTCTTTTGTAAAGAGTTTATGTTAAAGGAATGTAATATTCTGAACTGTTTGGAATAAAACACAAAAGAGAAGAAATGTCTTGTTCATTGCAGAAATAGGTAATACTGAATAGCAATTGATTTGATTTAAGGAAGTAATTACAGGCTGGTGAATGAGTGGCAGACAAAACATTACAAAATCATTTGTCACAGATGAAATGGACGTTTCAGTCAACAGAGAACAAATAGATATTTGTAAGAGCTGAGAATTCCCTTCTTGACGTGTTAATTGTTTTGTTTCAAATCTGGTGCTCAAATCAAAAAGCATCGACAGAAGTTTCGAATATTCCTCCTAATTTTCCTGGCTGCCTATTCCTGATTAAAATCTCAAATGGCAACAAAACTACAGAAAGAAAGGACACTCCGGCAGCAAGAGCGTTTATCCATTTTATAGCTTTTGGTCTAAATGATGAGATGTATTTTTTCTGCTAGCCCACATTTTTAGCACAAAATGAAAACATGCAGCATGCTGTCTCATCTGTCCCATGCATGCTGTTCTGCATTGTTTTTGCTGCTACAGTGTCTGCATGCATTTAAAGGGACACTATAGGCACCCAGACCCCCTCAGCTTATTGATTATTGGTCTGGATGCACTTTCCCTATTGCACTTTAGAGAAACTGCAATGTTTACATTGCAGCACTAAGTTTGCCTCTAGTGGCTGCCTAACAGACAGCCACTAGAGGCGCTTGCGGAATGTTACCGGACTTTTGGACCAGTAACTGATGCTGGGCGTCCTCACTCATGCAGCGTCAGCTATTTCCCCATAGGAAAGCATTCACGTACCCTCGTCAAATGAGAGCCACGACCCATCGCTGAGGGACATTGGTGCTGAGATCAAGTAAGTAACTAAAGGGTTTATAACCCTTTCTTTACCACAGGGGAGAGAGAGCAGGGAGGGGGAGGCATAGAGAGCTTTAGTGCCTTTTCCATCCCCCTCTCTCCTAACCTGCAGTGTTTAGTAACTCTGATACAGTGGCGTACATACCAGGGTCGCAGGGGTCGCGGCTGCGACCGGGCCCGGCCCACCAGGGGGCCCGGCCGCCCCTGCGACCCGGTATGTACCCACAGGGCCAGCCTCTTCCCCTGGGGGGCCCAGGAACCGGCCACCTCAGGGCCCCCCGAGGCTGGCCCTGCTGTCACACACACACTCCTGGGCGGGTGGCCGGTCGGGCAGGCAGGCGGGCGCACGAGGGAGCACTCAGTTCTTCCTCTTCAGCTCCCTCGCGCACTGCACTGATGACGGAGCCGGCATCCCTACGCGACGCGCGAGGGAGTTGAAGAGGAAGAACTGAGTGCTCCCTCGCGTGCCCGCCTGCCTGCCCGACCGGCCACCCGCCCAGGAGCACCACTGGACCCCAGGGAATCCCCCCAGCACTCCAAAAGGTAAGGAGGCTGGGGGGATTATATACAAAAAAACATGTGTGAGTGCTTGAGTGTTAGAGTGAGTGTGAGTATTAGTGTTAGAGTGAGTGTGAGTGTTAGTGTTAGAGTGAGTGTTAGAGTGAGTGTTAGTGTGAGTGTTAGAGTGTGAGTGTTAGAGTGTTAGTGTTAGAGTGAGTGTTAGTATGTGTGTCTTAGTGAGTCTGTTTGATGTCTGTTAGTGAGTGTGTGTTTGTCAATGAGAGTGTATGTTTTGTAAGTGAGTGTGTATGTATGTCTGTCGCTGAGTGTGTCTCTGTTAGCTAGTGTGTATGCGTCTGTAAGTGAGAGTGTGTGTGTCTTCAGCACTTACCTTTCTCCAGCGCCGGACTCCCTTGGCGCTGGGGATTCCTCAGCCTCTCAGCTCCGAATGAGACCGCGCACGCATTCAAACCGCCCATAGGAAAGCATTACTCAATGCTTTCCTATGGACGTTCAGTGTGCTCCTCTAGCGGCTGTCAGTGAGACAGCCACTAGAGGCTGGATTAACCCTCAGTGAAACAAAGCAGTTTCTCTGAAACTGCTATGTTTTCAGCTGCAGGGTTAAAACTAGAGGGACCTGACACCCAGACAACTTCATTGAGCTGATGTGATCTGGGTGTCTGTAGTGGTCCTTTAAAGGACCACTATAGTGCGAATGAGACCGCGCACGCATTCAAACCGCGCATAGGAAAGCATTACTCAATGCTTTCCTATGGACGTTCAGTGTGCTCCTCTAGCGGCTGTCAGTGAGACAGCCACTAGAGGCTGGAGTAACCCTCAGTGAAACAAAGCAGTTTCTCTGAAACTGCTATGTTTTCAGCTGCAGGGTTAAAACTAGAGGGACCTGACACCCAGACAACTTCATTGAGCTGATGTGATCTGGGTGTCTGTAGTGGTCCTTCAAAGGACCACTATAGTGCCAGGAAAACAGAGCCCGGCTCTGGAAAGGGGAAAAGAGGGTAAAACTTACCTTTTTCCAGTGCTGGAGAGCTCTCCTCCTCGATCCTCCTCTTCTCCTCCCCGTGGTATGCGCGCCACGGCAAAGCTGCGCGTGCATTCAGCCGGTCACGGAAAAGCATTCATAATGCTTTCCTATGGACGCTGGCGTGCTCTCACTGTGAAAATCACAGTGAGAAGCACGCAAGCGCCTCTAGCGGCTGTCAATGAGACAGCCGCTAGAGGAAATAGGGGAAGGCTTAACACATTCATAAACATAGCAGTTTCTCTGAAACTGCTATGTTTATGAAAAAATGGGTTAACCCTAGCTGGACCTGGCACCCAGACCACTTCATTAAGATGAAGTGGTCTGGGTGCCTAGAGTGGTCCTTTAAGTGTGTGTGCATCTGCATGCACTGGTGTACATACCGCGGTCGCAGGGGTCGCAGCCCTGTAACCCCTGCGACCAGGTGCCCACCGCCATGTGTTGCGGCCCGGCCCGTGCGCCGGGGGGGGGGCACGGATCAATTTTCGCACCGGGGCCCCATGGGTCATGTGTACGCCACTGCTCTGATATATATATATATATACACACACACACATTATCAGGAAATAAAACATTGCTTTCAGGGAGTTGTAGTTCAGCTAACTGGTTTCATAAATATACAACTGGCCGCTGAACTATACATTCAAGAATCCACTCAATAGGCTGTGCACAGAGACCTCGAAATTTGTTAAACTTCCCTAAATGTTAACCCTCTCATCAGTGGGTTGAACATGTTCAACAGTTCAGGCTCCATAATAAGAAAACTCTGAGGGGCCACCTACTTCCTGGAGGATGATGCTGTAATCTGTCTGGGATTTGCACACAAAAAAATTTACTTTAAAAACTTGCGGATTTTATTGTTGTTGCATATTTAAGGCGTTAATTATTATTATATAATATAGGAATTCAGTTATGGAATTCTAGTATTGAATATACTTGTAACATCAAATAAGACAAAGTTTTATATTACTAAGATGCATTTATTTTCTGATATATCCAGGAGAACATTTTGTTAAGTTAATTTAATGGTCCGCTTACTTTAAAAATCAAGACATGATGTCTTCAGGAAAACAGGCTTGTTATTTACTTTACATAATATAATTTAAATCAAAGAGAGCCTAGGTGTAATTCAAGGACTAAAAAAAAGGAAGGTAATCTACAGATTGCCAATCAAGGCTGGCGAAAATGGAACGCGAAAATTGATTGCAAGGAAGACAAAAATGATGGAAGAGGCTGTGAAGTGCTAGATTTTGAAATGTGCGTGTTTGATGCAGCAATAATCTTTGTAAAGTCTATGCGTAAAACCAACAGCGACTGAAATCAAGGTGTTTTTTCCCCATTTTACCTTTGGAGCATAAATGAGTGAGAATATATATTTTTTTTATTCCACAGTCTTCAAACACTTACATAACAGACTCTAGTTTGACCATGACAATAAACAATTCAGCCAGGACATGTTTTCAGTAGGCAAGATGGAAAACCTTTTAAATGTGCTATAAGAACCCCAATGCAGGATAAAAAGAGAAATGCGGGGGCGGAGCCTGACTTCCGAGCGGGAAAGACGCATAGCACACCAGCTCCTGACCAAAACGATTTATTTGGGACCAAAAACCCCAAAATTGGACCTAAACACGGCAGAGAAGGCAGGATGCAGGCAGAGGGAACCCGGGGGTACCCAACAACCCCAAAAACGAGATATACATCCCTCAGGAACCCTCGAAAGTCGCTGGGGCCTACCCGACACCACGCTGAGGAGAGGCGGCTGCTCTTCCAAACAGCAATGGCAAGCACGGACCCAACGTCTCACATACCTCCTACCCCCTCACCCCCCGTGGACCGGCGGGGGTCATCCCGGTCCCCCCTGAACAACGGGGGCAACGCAGCAAAGACACACTGCAAACCTGTAATGCAAAGGGGAAACTCGGCAGAAGAAGCTCCTAAAATGGCGGAGGTAGCGTGCTCCCTCAGCATCCTAAGCGAGCAGCCAGAGGTGGAGCGCCGAATAGACAGGGTTTTCCAAGTATTTTGGGAGAAACTGGAAGCTTTACTGTCCCCTGAGTTGGTGCTGGATACCTGACAGCACACTCACCTAAGCAGAGCCAAACGAAAAAAGGCACAGTCACCTCTGGCACCGTACCGCCCAATGGGACGGAAGAAGCGAGAATTTAGCGGACAGAAGGTAACCGGAGTCCCAACAAGCGGCAAAAAGAGCAAGGCGACAGCCTCCGGGATCCGGCAAGTAAAGGTGCAGAAGCACACCAGTCGGACATCCCACATATCTGACGATGGTGGTCCGTCACCGGGAGGAACGCACAGGAGACACGCAAGCACCGCACCAGACCTGACAGGCAGTAATCGAAGCAGCACGACCCTGCCTGCTGTAGCCCACACTGCGCATCGAGTAGCTGAGTGGCTGCACACATTGTGGGTCAAAGCCGGAGCGGACCCCCAGCGCGGGGGCATCATGGAAAAGTTGTACCACAGCAAGGATAGAGGCTGCCTGACACGGGGACACAGACATAGAGTACCACACCGAGGCGCCACCAATACCCCGCAAGGCGTCGGCTGATGACATCAATACTCAGGTCCTTGAGGACTCTTTTCTTTTTTCATATTATTTTTAATTTTTCATTGTTTTCATTTGTTGCTTTGATCAGCATGCCTAGGTTTGTCCACATGCAGTAGTAAGCACACAGCTACTGTTCGTTTAATATTCACTTAATCTACTTATTTAGCTTTTATAAGTCATATAACTGTCATTCCTTTTTTTTCCCTTGTTATTAATCCTTTGAATACACACTGGCATTTGAGGAAAACGTCAGAAAGAGCTCAGAAAGATCCCAGAAAGTCTAGCACTCACCCAACAGTAAAGAGCAGCAGTTTTATACACACTTTAGGCTGCGTCGAAAATGCCTTTTAACTGTCATACACAGCACTCAGAATGTTTATGTACCTTTAGTATGTTACTAGCCTATGTTTCTAATGCCTCCTAGCCTAGACACTCACAGCATAAAGTATTTATGCATTATTTTGTAACCAGCTATTGCTATACTACAAATCGTGTCAATACAGCTTACCTATACTAGCACAGCTGACCTAGCAGTATTAAGCGTTGAGCATCTTTAATCTATTTTATTTTATCTAAATCCCACTCTGAAGAAATAACTGTTCTAGTTAAGCTTGAAAAATATATAAAAATTGTGCGAATTATCATGCCACTGTATAACGTTTGAGAATCTTGAAATATGCCGTTGTGGCGCCTGTTGATACCCTGTACCCTCCTGCACATCAAAAATAAAAGAATATAAAAAAAAAAGAGAGCAATGCACTCATGTATAGTCATATTGTTTGTGGCACTCCAGTATACTATCACTGTTTCTGAATTCAGTTCTCAAGAAACAACAGCAGTCCAGGATTCAAGGACTTTCCAAATCTGTTCCAATGGAGGAACTCCACAAAAATGAAACAGAAGAAGATGCATTCCTGAAATATTCTCACAGTAAAAAAAAGCAAAAAAACCAAACACACACACACATACACACACACTCTCTCTCTCTCTCTCTCTCTCACTCACTCATTCACACTCTCTCACGCACTCTGATAGATACACACTCACTGCCAGACACAGACACACCGTAAAATAAATCTCTTCATTGAAAATCTTCTTGAAACAGTTGTAATAGACATGCAGGGTATAAAAGCTCCTAAATCTTCACAGCCATGGCATCCGAACAATGGATTTCATGGGTAGAGACACTTTTCCACGATATCATCCTGGTATGGCGGAGCTGCATATGTAAAGATTTCCATTTGCCTTTATAATAGCATGATACCTGTGACAAACCCCCCTTTTCAAGTGAGTCTGCCACAAGTTCCTGGAGGAGCCTGCTTGCCTGCCTCATGCCTACAGACTATGGACCCTGTAAACTGTGATATAAAAGTCTCTGTTCATGTAATTAGACTATATGATTCGGGAACCGAACAGCCGCACGAGCCGCAGACCACCCTGGAGCTTGTTAAGCCTAATTGCTACTGTTGAAGAAAATAAGGCACGTGAAACAACTGGTCCAAATGAAAAGGATTATTATTGAACAATGAAGCAGGATTACAAAACAAAGTGACAGAGAGTTTTAGCACTTTCAAGTAATTCAGCAGGCGCGCACTACAATCAGATAAAACAGTGTCTTTATACTTTTTGAAGATGTGTTTTAACCAATCCAAGTATCTGCATGTTCTCCAACTCTGAGTTTCTTTATCTCAGCCTCGCAGGTCTTGGGTGGCTGAATTAGCACATGAGAGTTAACTTTTTGCACGCAAACAGAATAGATGAACACAGCAGAAAAACGTTTGTAAGCATCATTTTGGTATTAAGCACAGGGCAATATATGGGCAGTTAATATTTTCTTTAACACTACTTTGTAGCAATTTCTACCTCAGTGTTCTAAGTGTTTATCTGGGTGTCCACAATTCCTATGGATGACCACAAGGTGGCAGCCATCTTGTTCGCATGAACGCAGGCAGCGGTGTTTAGTTGTCGAGTTCATGGAACTATTTTCGGATACTGAAACTCACGAACACCGCTGGACTTCCATGATTGCCTGTGTTCGGTTTTATAACACTTAGGAAGACACTGTTCAGTGGAATAATTTGTCTGAATAAGGTGAACAAACTCCAGGGTAGAACTATGGATTCCATTCGGTAGTTTGTTCACTTTTTTTAAACTACCAAACTAGACCGACCGCAAGTCCTGATTCTCTGGAACTGTTTTGGGCATGGCACCATGCATGCGGTCGGTCAAACAAATGGCTTCCAGGAAATTCCTGAACCTCTGAACTGATCTGGGATATCAACATGGATATAACATGGATATGTTGGTCACCCAGATAAGGGCTATCAGGGGATGTCACTTTTGTGGGGTTTTATGTATTTTTAGGGTACTTTGGGGGTGTTTTGGAAAAAATATGTTTTTCTGTGCTTGGAGATGATTGGATTAGATTAATACAGTTCCTGATCCAATTATCTCCCAGGCACAGAGGAGGAATTATCTGATTTTGTATGGGAGTGTCCTGGACCTGAGAACCAATGTAATTGTGTATTTGTTTTTACTGTGGTTTACTCTCAGGTGCAGGCGCGTGTGCCCCTTGCATGGGGACATGCATATAAGGCCAGTTGTGGCTGCCATTAAAAGTGTTCCAGCTTGTAGTCCCAGTATGGTGTCATCTGGTTACTGGGAGGGGAAAGGGCTAATCACTGTTCTAGCTTGTTCCAGCGTGGAAGATTCAGCGGGGAATATCCTTGTAAGGGCTAGAGCTCCCAGGACTGAGTGTCTCCCAGTGCCTGGGGGTGTCTAGAGCGAATTACCCATTTGGCTACAGGAGGGAGCGGTTCCAGGGCCCCAGTCAAGCCACCGCGACTGTGGGCAGAAGTGCTGCGGTTTGTCCCTGTTCAAGCTAGGAATCGGTCCTTGGCGTATGTACCCAGCCGGGTTACAATACCCTTTTTCATTTTTCTTACTCACAGTTGATTCCAATGGAAATCCTGGCAAAGAGTGCCCTAGTCAGTGCTGTGCCTTGAGCACTGGGCTGGGAACCACTGCACTACATGACAAAATGTACGTAACTGCCTGCTTGTTGGACATCTTATCTCAAAATCATGGACATTAAAAGGGAGTTTGTAAAACTCTTCATTAATTTTCACTGTAAAATGGGTCTTATGTCACTGGAAAAGGCAGCACTAATACACTAAACAACTTACTGGGAAACATGATGATATATGAAGTTTTTTTTAAGCTCATAGGAACCCACTAAAACAGCGTAAGATCCCAGTTCTGACTCCTGGCATGGAGATGGGGGTTTAATAACCCCTTTTCCAGATCTTGAAACAACTTTGAAGGGATTTGTTCCATTCAAGCACAACGGCTTTTATGAAATCTGGTAGTCAAGAAAGAAAATTTGTGTTTCTTGACAAATCAATTCTGCATATTCTAGATCTCATGTTCTACACGAGACCTTTGCTATACTGAACTAGGAATGGATCTTCTCCAAATGAATTAATGCCACCAAGTTGAGAATGCTGTAACTTTTAAAAAAACAAAAAACTAGGTTTGTGTGACTGTTTGTTAATAGAAGACTAACAAGTGAACCTGAAATGTGATACTTTGTACGCGATGCTGTTCTGCTTGGACCTCAAACCCCTCAGATAGATCATCATGAACAGTCGATATGGATACAGGTTCAAGAGTGGACATTAACCACCTACTCTACATGGACGACATTAAAATACATACAAAGAGTGAGTGACACATTGACTCATTGATCTATTTAGGAAATACAGCAAGATAATTGTGCTTGGGTGAAAGCAGAGGAGGGAAGATGATGAGGACTGAAGAAGTTCAAGTGGCAGGATACCAAATAGGCAGTTACAGCTACAAGTACTACAAACAAATGGCAACATCATGAAGTCCAAGCTCACTAACAAGAGTCGAGCTAGATACAGTCATGGGGAAAAGAAAGTACACCCTCTTTAAATTATATGGTTTTACAAATCAGAACATAATAACAATCATTTGTACCTTAGCAGACGAACAACAGCACATGACAAATTACACCATGTCATGATTTATTTAACAAAAAATAAAGCCAAAATGGAGAAGCCATATGTGAAAAATGAAGTGCAACCTTACGGATTACATAGGAATAAGAGGCTCAGTAGCAGACAGGTGCTGCTAATAAAATGCCCTTGATTAATTGATCAACAGCAAGTGTGACCACCTCTATAAAACCTGATGTTTCATAGTTTTAGCAGTTTGCTGGTCTGGAGCATTCAGGTGTGTGTTAACACAATGCCAGAACAGAAAGGCATCAGCAATGATCTTAGAGAAGCAATTGCTGCTGCCCTTCAAACTAGGAAGGATTATAAGGCCATTTTCAAACTATTTAAAGTTCGTCATTCTACACTGAGAAAGATTATTCATAAGTGAAAACATTCAAGACAGTTGCCAATCTGGAAGTCCCAGCAATTCACCCCAAGGTTAGACAATGCTCAGAGAAATTGCACAAAAACAAACAAACTTACATCTCAGACTCTACAGGCCTCAGTTAGCATGTTAAATGTTAAAGTTCATGACAATGCTCTTATCTCTAAAAAGAACATGGCAGCACGGCTTAGGTTTGCAAAGTTGCATCTGAACAAAGCACAAAACTTCTGGAACAATGTATTTTGGACAGACGAGACCAAAGTAGAGATGTTTGGCCATAATGCACATGGTGGAAACCAAACACAGCACATCAGCACAACCACCTCATACCAACTGCCAAACACGGTGATGGAGGGGTGATGATGATGGGCAGACTAGATGGGCCGAATGGTTCTTATCTGCCGTCACATTCTATGTTTCTATGTTTCTATGTTTCTATGATTTGGGCTTGTTTGCAGCCACAGGACCTGGGAACCTTGCACTCATTGGATCAACCATTAACTATTCTGCATACCAAACTATTCTGGAGTCAAATGTGAGGCAATCTGTCTGACAGTCACAGC